CAGGGGCTTTATGACTTCCATGAGAAAGCCCCAGTGGCTAAGGTTACTGGGATCTTTTTGTCTTGATTGTGCTACACATTTTGTCTTTGGGGATACCATTGTCGCTAAACATAATGTGCATTTGTTGTAGACTCACCTAAAATCCTTTGTGTGGTCTCCCGGGAGCTGACGGGAAGAGGCTATTGTTGAAGTCTCTTAATTTTTCTTAGGTATTACAAAAGTGAATCCTGTTAATATTTTATCTAAATTATTCATTGGGAACAAGTATTCTAAGGAGAAATCATCAGAGGTTAGATTGGGAATATATATTTCATAAGCTGCTTTTCATTCAAAGTAACTATGTAAAATTCACCATGAATTTTAATAAGCTTACTACATAGCTTCTTCCTGCTAATTCAGTTCTTGCTTAAATTTGAATCTCCTGTATCATTTCAGAAAAACCTCTGGAATCAAATTAATTGTAACTAAAATAACATAATTTTCTCATGCTAATAGTGATCAGCTTAAACAGTTGGGCAGGTATTAGTCTAATCACAAGTTGCAGCAAATTGACACTTCATTAGTGAGGAAGACGCTCAAATGTTTAGACTAAGAGGAAGAGCAAATTGTATTGAAAACTGCTAGGCACAGCTCTCTGGCTACAAGCTGGTTTCCGGCCCCCCATTCCTGTTGATGGCCATAATTCTGATACCAGTGGCAAAAAAGCTCTGCTTACCAGTTAACCAGTGCTTGATTCTCTGGCTAGTTGAGAAATTTACCTGCATATATTAAAAATAGATTTTAAAAATCAGAATAAGATAGAATCTTTTAAAGAACTATTTAAACTTTCCTTTGGAAGTATGAACGTTGAAACTCAACTTTTAATGTTGGTGCCCCCTACTCCCAGGTTCACAGAACTTAACAGTAAGATTTTTTTAACCCTCTAACCACCATTTGCCTTCTCTGCACTTATTTATTCCCTTCTTGTCTTTCCTTCCCTCTCTCTCTCTTAAGAAGGGAGTTCCTTTTGAGGCTTTTGCTTGGGCTGCAGATTTAAGCATTCAGAGGAAAACATGGATTTGACTCTTAGGTTTGCAGGTTCACTCCATTCCATGAGGATGCTGAAACTTTGGGTATTAAGTGTGGGGGCATCCAGAAATCATATCTTAAAGGGTATTGTTTGATGTTGAGAGGTTTGGATTTTCCTTTTCTTAATGGCAGTAGAGAACTATTGAATGCTTTTGCTAAACTGAGTAAATTACTTTTGTACCTCTACACTTCTTTAAAATGGATTTAATTCATCAATCTCACGCATTTTTGTTTTCTGGCAATTTTTTAAAAACCAAATCAGTGTCACAATGAACTGCATCTGAATCATTTACTTTTTAGCTTTTGTGTTTACATATCTATCTAGTTTATAGCACATATTATTTATGGGCCTGGGCTGCCTTTTTGTGAAATAAAACATTGACCTGTTTGTATTTTTTAACCCAAAAGGTTGAATTTATTTTTGTAGTAATAGTGGTGTTGATTTCCATTGCAAACACGGATGTTCCCTTAACACACATTAAGACCGCATCACACGCTATAGTATTACAAAAAGGAAGGTGAACTGTTTCCAAAGGCAATAAATAGCTTTAACAACAAAGGATGTAAACACCTCATGAAACAAAAAATCTCTAGTTATATGAATGACTATTTATATTTATTTATTATAAATATTTGTTTATTTATTTTAACAGGATCCTGAATATTTTAACAGGATCAACCTTTGTTTCTTTGATCCTGAGGTTTCTACTTTTCCATACCTGGCATCTGCAGTAAAATGCACAGCAACTGGGTTACAGAATGCAGTTACGATCCATTCACGCAAACCTTCAAGAATGGCTGGTGTGGCTCCTTGGGATTGAACGTTGCCCCATGGAAAGAACATAGCTTTCCTTAGTTTAGCTTCAGGTTCTTAATAGCAAAAGGGATTAGGCTCCAGATGCCTCCTAGAGTTTTATAATTAGTGGAAATAAAATGATTATAGGAGTCTCGGGTGTTTCAGTAATTACAGTTGAAAACAAGTTTCCTTATTCACAAGTGTGGACATACTAATAAAATGTATGATTTTTTTAAAGCAATGAAAAAGCATGCCTGACATAATAGAGAGGGGGAAGGAAAGATAAGAGAATAGAGTAGGAGGGTAATGATGGAAATCAGTTTAAGTTTCTATGTGCATGAGTGATCCTGGCCCAAAGCGTGGCCCCTCCTCTGTAATGAATTTTCCTGTTTCTTTGGATATTCAAAGTGTTTTGTTCAGCATAACCTGCCAAATTACAAAGATTGACAGTGATGAAAGAAAAAGAAGTGCCTAAGAGTGTTGATTGATAGCAAAGAAGGGTTGCCTTTATGGGAAGTCCCTCAGTAGACTGGAGACACCATGATTTTGACAACTGAAGATACTGTAACATGTGCACTCTCTTCAAGGCAGATTTCTTTAAGGCTATTTCATTTTTAGATGGTTACCAGAATTTAATCCTGTTTGTAAAACTGAAGTGAGGAAAGCTACTTCAGCCAGATTTGAATCTGTGCTTCAGTGGAAAAAGGCCAGGAAAAACAATTCCCCAAATCAGTGGAGCGTCACATTATTGTTGCTCCATCACCTTGGTGACAGGATAGCTTGAGGGGGCTGGAGGTGGTGATATGAGTAAAACAGCTCTTCCGCTGAGTCAATGTGTGTACATATATATTCACACAGCTGGTTTCATCTCAGTGAGGCAGCTACTGATGTGAGGAAAGTTAAGTAGAGAATTTCCTAGAAGCAGCTGTGGCCTACTTACCTAAACACAGTGGCTATTTTTCTACTTTGTCAGGCAAATAAGAAGTAGCTATTGAATATTGTGTTTGAAGAGAGACTCTTGACAGTGAGTTATGCCAACATCTGAGGTGCAGAGGCAGCCCCTTGCAGTGACTGGCTACAGCCTGGAACCTTGCTGTCCCCTCCCCTGGTACCACCACTCTCCTTCCGAGTGAGGCTGAGCTCTTGGCTCAGTTCATTGGAGGGTGTTCTCCAAGTGTATGCACAGGAGGTAGCAGTATCCTTGGGTCATGACTGACTGGCCGAATTGACCTGGCTCTCTCACCAGGTAAAAGCTCCACCAGTAGAGTAGGCTGCCCTGCATACCTAAAGACTTGGTCCCTGTGAGCCTTGGGGGTAGCGGGTGGTGGTGGTATAAACTGTGTGGAGAGGTATTTCTGAAACTTTAATCTGGGGGCCAACTGTATCTGGGGTTCTTGTTACAAATGTAGGTTTCCAGTTCCGTACCTATTCGCTGTGATTCAGAATGTCTGGTATAGTAATTCTGAGGCCCAGTAAAGTTTGGGAACTACTGACTTAGAATACCCTCACATGATATACCTATTATAAAAGGGTTCCTCTTATTGCAGGGACTTTCAATTACTGCTTGTCCCCTTATCTTACAAATTCATTTATTCAACAAACATTTATCAACTGCCTGTTGTGTGTCATACTGAGCAGGGCAGTAGAGTTATAACATGACCAAGATTGACATGGTTTTTATCCTCATGAAACGGAGGGGAAACAAGTAAACAAATTAATAGTTATGATTAGAGTTATGAAGGCCACAACAGGATATTATAATAGACTATAAAATGGAAGGAGGAGCAGTGAGTATTTAAAATAAAAAGATAGAGAAGGTCCTCTTTGAGGAGACAGCAATTACATTAAGACTTAGATTTGAAGGAGCCAGACATATGAGGAGCATGTGAGGCAGTATAAAAAAAACGTGCAAAGGCACTGGGACATGACCAACCTTGATCCTCATTAAAGAAAAAGCAAGGCCAGAGTAACTGGTGCCCAGTGAGCCAGGAAGGCACCTAGATCACCTAGGCTCTTGATCAAGAGGAGACAGATTGAGAGGTGTGGGGAATCAGATGTGTAGTTGGAAATAAGAGTTTGGAGTTGAGAGGAGAGGCCTAGTTTAGAACATGACTGTGGGAGTCATCAGCATTTCAATAGAGAGCCCCCTGAATGGGTAATCTAATCTAGGAAGAGGTTTTGGAGAGAGGGTAGATAAGGGCCTGGTAAAGAAAACTAGGAATAGCCAGGACATGGGAGAGGTGGGAAGATAGGAGGAAAACCAGGAGACTATAGGTCGTGGAAGCCACGAGAGGAAATGCTCAAAGAGAGCTAGTCAAATGTGTCATTTCTGTTAAAGGTCTAGGACAGCGCTGTATAGGAGCCACCAGCTGCATGTGGCTATTGAGCACTTGAAATGTGACTAGTGCAAGTTGAAATGTACTATAAGATGCACATCATGTACAGCTAAGACTAATACAATTGCATTTGTCAATTCTATTTCAATTAAAGAAATACACACCAGATTCAAAGACCGAGTACAAAAGCAAGAATGAAAAATATTTCATTACTATTTTTTAAAGTAGTGATTACATGTTGAAATGACAATATTTGGGATATACTGGGTTAAATAAAATACACTGTTAAAATTTTACCTGCTTTTCATTTTTTAAAAATATGGCTACTAGAAAATTTAAAATTGCACCTCTGGTTTGCGTTCTATTTCTGTTGCAGAGTTTGGCGATGTGGAAGTCATTTGCAAACTTGGTGAGAGTAGGCTGCCTGAGACTAAGTAATTCCAAGCAAACTGTTTATACGACTTAGAGGAGACTGAGTCAGTATCGTAATGCTGGTAAACAAATGAATAATTATGATAAGAGCTATTAAGGGCCACAACAGGATATGTCTAAATTAAGTAACGAAATTCACCACTAAAAATTCTTCCAGAATTTTTGAGATGTATGTAAATGATTTAAATGATTTCACATAAATTAACAATATAATATGCAAGTATTTAAGTTAAATCCTTTGAAATCAACTCTGAAATGTGGTTTTTCAGTCTTTTTTAACCTGTGTTTTCTTTCCTTTTTTTCTTCTTTCTTTTTATTTAAAATTTATTTTATTTTTATTTATTTATTTATTTTGCATATTTGGCCAGGAAACTTCATGGTGTTATGGTCAACTTGCCGCACAACCGTGTTCAAATCTGTCACCAACAGGTTCATTAAAAACCTGGCCTGCTCGGGGATTTGTGCCAGCCTGGTCTGTGTGCCCTTCGACATCGTCCTCAGCACCAGTCCTCACTGTTGCTGGTGGATCTACACCATGCTCTTCTGCAAGGTCGTCAAATTTTTGCACAAAGTCTTCTGCTCTGTGACTATCCTCAGCTTTCCTGCCATTGCCTTGGACAGGTAAGGTCAGGTAGCCAAATGCCCAATTTTTGAAAGTATATTGAAATACTAGCATCACGAAGCAAATGGGAAATAGTCATTATTCCACTATTTTAGTTTGTGATCAACAGAAAGAGAATGAATTGCCAGAAGAGATACCTCACACAAGACAGGTGGGTTAACAGCAGCTGTGGAAAATAGGACCATTGAAAAAAGATGTGACATTGGGAGTCACATCATGATGCTGGGGCAGAGCTACTGGAGCCTGGAGACTCAAGGGTCCCAGGTTCGATTCTGGTCAAGGGCATGTACCTCGGAAATAGTCATTATTCCACTATTGGATGTGCAGGAGGCAGCTGATCGAGAATGAATTGCCAGAAGAGATACCTCACACAAGACAGGTGGGCTTAACAGCAGCTGTGGAAAATAGTATATAAAAAAAAAAGATGTGACATTGGGAGTCACATCATGATGCCGGGGCAGAGCTACTGGAGCCTGGAGTAGCTTCACGTTGGTTGGAATTGGTGGTATTTGTGTTGCAATTTGCAGTAGATAGGCTCATCTGATTGATAACTCCACAATTAGGGCTTTTGATGTAGGACAAAAGCATTTCTGGAAGAACAACAGAACAATTCAGTGTTATTTAACAAAAAATTAGATAGTCCAGTTGGACCGGGCCAGATAATACCAGAATTCCTTTGGAGGATTTATTTCCAAGGCCTTATATTGTGATGGTTGTTGTTTTCTCTTCTCATCCTCTTTAGGAGGATGTTCATTTGGAAATGAATCTTACATTTTAACTACTACATACATAATTTGATCAAATTTATCAGAGTTTAAAGATCTTAGTAATCAACAGCCTCCTGTCTTTTCTCTTTGTTGCTAGTGTATCATGAAGACAGTTGAGATAATAATGCAGCGAATAGAATTAAATAAGAAAACAAGAATTGGAAAGTATTTTGTGCCCATGAGTACTTTTGATTTCAAAATTTGCAGAAAGGAAAAGTTGCTGAAGGGATTAGGTTGGCTGGCTCTTCTGACTTTATACCCTATGATAAATTTAACTACATTATAGATGAATTTGGAATTTTTAAATGCTTTGTTCATTCAAAACATACTTAATATCTTAATAACCTCTGAGAGTATGGATTGCAGAACCCATATGTGGAGTCGCTTTCAGCCTCTCAGGCCTGGAACCTTGACTTCATTAGCTGCCTAATGTCATCTGCATGGAGGGACAGAGTCATACAAAGGCCCTGCATACGAGGAGAAGTTGTTGGCTTAAGAGAGGGAACTCTGGAGTCAGAAATCTATCTACTGGTACATTGCTTTTTTTGGTGGGTGGCTTTGGGCAAAGTGGCTTAATCTTTCTGAGCCTCAGTTTCCTCAGCAGTAAGAAGAATTAAATGAATTATTTGTAGCCTGTGGTTGGATAGGTTGCACCAATATTTGCCTCTCTTTCTCTAGGCTTTGCTTCTAATTGGCACATTCTTCTTTAGCTTTATTGTCTGCAATCATTTTACCATCAGATCTTGCTGTGAGCCACTCTAGCTCTTTGGAATTTTTCTCACTAGAAACTCACCATTCACAGGATCAGACAAGGCAGGTGATAAATTCAAGTGCCACAGACCAGGCTGGGGTTGTGTGTGCATTCATGTTCATTGGGGTCAGTCACTTAGCAGATGCAGCTAATAGTTGCTTTGTGGCTATCTAGATTTAGTGGGCAGGACTCTATTTTCTTAGGAGAAAATTTAAAAATCTAGATTTCTATCATTTTTTAATGTTTGCAATTAATTTGCATTAAAAATATTATGTGGAACACTCAGCAAGCTAAATGTGTACCATGCAATGCCAGTTTGTCATGACTGCTCTACAGTAACTTCGCATGTCTCTTCCATGCTCAACAACAGACCTTTGAAGATCTGGAAAGAACCATTGCACAGCACTGGAATATCACAGTGAAAAGTCAATGACATCCTGGTGATGCAGTTACAGCCCTCATGAATTTTGCATTGAGCCACTCTGTATTTATAGGAGATGTCCTTCCAACTGCCCCTTGTACTACCTGCTTAGTGAGGTCTCAAGTCTTCAGACCACATTGTGGACTTTTCTCAGAGTTTTTTAAACAACATTTTTATTAACAATTTATGTTTCACAAAATTCACCTATTTTAAGTGTATAAGTCAATGAATTTTAATATCTTTATAGAGTTGTGCCGCCATCAATAAAGCTGACCTTTAGAACAGATTCATCACCCTAAAGAAAAGAAGCCTCATGCTTATTACACTCACTCTCCATTCCCACCCTAGACATAGGCAACCACTACTATACTTTCTGTCTTTGTATGTTTGCTATTTTTGGACATTTCATATAAGTAAGATTATACAGTATGTGTTCTTTTATGTCTGGCTCTTTTGCTCAGCATAATGTTTTCAAGGTTCATCCATGTTGTAGCATGTATTAGTACTTCATTCCTTTTTCTTTTGTAGTTTTATTAAGATATGATTGACATACAGCACTGTGTAAGTTTAAGGTGTACAGCATAGAGGACTTGAATATATTGTGAACTGATTGCCACAGTAAGTTTAGTTAACATCCATCATCTCATCTATATATTAAAAGCCTAAACAACCGTTAAGGCGGAACAACCGGTTGCTATGATGTGCACTGACCACCAGGGGGCAGACGCTCAATGCAGGAGCTACCCCCTGGTGGTCAGTGTGCTCCCATAGGGGGAGCACCACTCAGCCAGAAGCTGGGCTCATGGCTGGCGAGCACAGCTGCCACGGTGGGAGTCTCTCCCAACTCTGTGGCAGCAGGCGCAGTGGGCCAGGGTGAGCGTGAGCCACGCAGCACCCAGTCCCAATTCAGGCTCCTCCCTGGCTGCCTGCTGCTTGGTGCACTGCTATATCCCCTGAGGGGTCCTGGATTGCTAGAGGGCACAGACCAGGCTCAGAGACACCCCCCGCCCCAGTGCACAAATTTCATGCACTGGGCCTCTAGTATAGATATAAAAGAAAGAACAATTGTTTTTCCTTATAAAGAGAACTCTTAGGATCTACTCTCTTAACAACTTTCTTCATTTTTTATTAGTGAACTAGAGGCCCGGTGCATGAAATTTGTGCAGGGGTGGGGGTGTCCCTCAGCACGGCCTGTGACCTCTCGCCGTCTGGGACCTCTCAGGGGATGTCTGACTGCTGGCTTGTGGCTGGATGGTCTTCTGCTGCTGCACAGCTTGCTGCTTGAGCTTCAGCAGCTGCTACACGTGCATGGGCTGGGCCACCACGGTCTGTCCTGTGAACACCATTGAGTGGGTGAGTCAAGTGTGGTGGCAGGCTCACCCTAAGTTCCCTGTGCTTCCCTGAGTCACTGAGTTGTTTAGACTGACTTCCTTCTACAGAGAACAGCACTGGGATCAGGCCTAAGCCAGCAGTCGGACATCCCTCTCGCAGTCCGGGACCCCTTGGGGGATGTAGCAGTGCTGAGTGGCACTCCCCCTGTGGGAGTGCACTGACCACCAGGAGGCAGCTCCTGTGTTGAGCATCTGCCCCCTGGTGGCCAGTGCACATCATAGTGACCAGTCATTCTGGTTGTTCTGCCGTAACGGTCGCTTAGGCTTTTGTATATATAGATAATAGTCTTTTGTTTGGCTGTACCACTTTTGTTATCCATTCATTAGTTGGTGGACATTTGGGTTGTTTCCATTTTTTCTTACTATTGTGAATAATACTGCTGTGAATCCTGAAATTTTTTAAAGAATAGAATTCAACAAGAGTGAGAACACATTGTTGTTTTTTTTAAAACATATTTTATTGATTTTTTACAGAGAGGAAGGGAGAGGGATAGAGAGTTAGAAACATTGATGAGAGAGAAACATCGATCAGCTGCCTCCTGCGCACCCCCCACTGGGGATGTGCCTGCAACCAAGGTACATGCCATTGACCGGAATCGAACCCGGGACCCTTGAGTCCGCAGGCTGACGCTCTATCCACTGAGAAAACCGGCTAGGGCAGAACACATTGTTTTGAATACTTTTCTGTTATACCTAGAATCAATGCAATAATAACTGTAGGTTATTTCTGGGCCTTTGACCTTAGAGAGGAAAATATGCTAACAATAAAATATCCTTACTTTCTTTCCATCAGACAATCTACTGTGTACTTGCCATTCTTTTTTAAAAGGTAAACAAGTCCTTTTAGTAGAAAATTAAGACTGTTAGTATCCTATTTTATTATTCAGAGATACAAATTACCTGTAAGCTTAAGTATGGTGTGCATGAAGGTGAAGGGAAAATGATCCTTTCTCTGACTTCTTTCACGGATATTTGTTTCATGGCACTGAATCAGCAAGTTAATTGGGAGGCCACCTACACTTCCTGCATTATTTTCTAGAGGTGTATATACTAACAAAATTACTTGTAATGAGCCTGTGTTGCAGCCTATTTCCCGATACATAATGGAAGCAAAAATGCCTGGAAGCTTGGGTTCATTATCTGCCAGTTAGCAAATAAGAATCAGAGCCAGGGGACTCCTGAGCATGTTTTCATGCGTGGGTAGAAACCTTTACCTGTACTCAGAGAAATAAGATGGAGAGCATGCATAACTTATGTGTTTTTCTCCCTTTTCCCCCCTCCCAGAAAGATATCTAGAACACATTTCATCGTGCTCCATACATCTCTGATCATCTGTGGTCATGTTGTGTTTGCATCATATCTCCCTGAGCTGGAGCATTCTTGACATTTTCCCAGGTGCTCCCTTTCCCATACTTCCTTTGTGCATACCTCTAGTAGAGCCATCACCTCCTCATTTATAATTGTTTGCATGCTTCCCCCACCCCCGCATTAACTTTAGAAACATCCCTGTATATCTTTTCTTCTTTTTGTAACTCAGTGCCTGTAAACCTAGGTGGTGCTCAGAAACTCTTGTGACAGGAAAGCATTCGTGTTTAGTTGGCCTCACGAATGAATGAATGTTAATAGGGTTCTAAGGTTGACTCCAGCATTAGCTGACTGCAGTGATGTGGGCAGAGCTAATCTCTGATAATCACCACAATTCTGATGGTTAGTGGAAACCCTTTCCTGACAGATGTGGCTCTAGGGGTCTGTAGAACTACTCAGTTCTACCAAATCATTGCTGATATGGAAGCAGGGTGCTTTCTGAATTCTGATTAGGTGATTATGGGATAATCAAGTTAGGCTTGAAGGAAAAAAGTTTTAACATGCAGGCATTTTAGACCTATTATTTGCTCTTAGAGTTACTAAGTGATTATCATGGGGACAATAGCTATTGAGCAGGCATCATTTTTGTCAGTTGATTTTGTGGAAGGACTTTGCCAGAGTCCATCCTTAATATTGGGTCCTGCCCTGAGCAGATGTAAGGTTAATATATCAATTTTTTACAAATTAGCCTTACACTGAAAAACAGATGTCTTTATGGCAGATGGAGGCATCCTTTATATTGAGCACTCTTTGGAATTTAATCTTGGCGGCAATAATTATAAAGCTAGTTATGCATTGTACAGCAAAGTCCTCAAAATTTAAGGTCTGGCTGCCTAACTTCCCCAGTGGTTCCCTCTTTCTTAGGCAGAATAAAAGAACTTGACCCTTTTTTCCGTCTCTCCTACTTTTGGTAATAGAGAGTCCCCTAATTTAAAGCGTATCTTCTCCTGTGAAATGAATTTTATGTGTGCATTTTGCAGGTACTACTCAGTTCTATATCCTCTGGAGAGAAAAATATCTGATGCCAAGTCCCGGGAACTGGTGATGTACATCTGGGCCCATGCAGTGGTGGCCAGCATTCCAGTGTTTGCAGTGACCAATGTGGCCGACATCTATGCCATGTCCACCTGCACCGAAGTTTGGAGCAACTCCTTGGGCCACCTGGTGTACGTTCTGGTCTATAACATCACCACGGTCATTGTGCCTGTGGCTATGGTCTTCCTCTTCTTGATACTGATTCGACGGGCCCTGAGTGCCAGCCAGAAGAAGAAGGTCATCATAGCAGCGCTCCGGACTCCACAGAACACCATCTCTATCCCCTACGCCTCCCAGCGGGAGGCCGAGCTGCACGCCACCCTGCTCTCAATGGTGATGGTCTTCATCTTGTGTAGCGTGCCGTACGCTACCCTGGTTGTCTACCAGACTGTGCTCAACATCCCTGACACTTCTGTCTTCTTGCTGCTCACTGCCATCTGGCTGCCTAAAGTCTCTCTGCTAGCAAACCCTGTGCTCTTTCTTACTGTGAACAAATCTGTCCGCAAGTGCTTGGTAGGGACCTTAGTACAGCTACACCACCGGTACAGTCGCCGTAACGTGGTGAGTACAGGGAGTGGGCTGGCCGACGTCAGCCTGGAGCCCAGTGTGCGCTCAGGAAGCCAGCTGCTGGAGATGTTCCACATTGGGCAGCAGCAGATCTTTAAGTCCACGGAGGATGAGGAAGAGAGCGAAGCCAAGTACGCTGGCTCTGCCGACCTCCAGGCCAAGGAGATACTTAGCACCTGCCTGGAGAGGGAGCAGGGGCCACAGTCTGCGCCCCCTGTGCCACCCCTGGGCACAGTGGACTCTCTACCCCAGGTGGCTTCAGCAGCCCCTGTGGAACCCGAGACATTCCCTGGCAAGTATTCCCTGCAATTTGGTTTTGGTCCTTTTGAGTTGCCTCCCCAGTGGCTCTCAGAGACCCGAAACAGCAAAAAGCGGCTGCTGCCCCCCTTGGGTAACACCCCAGAAGAGCTGATCCAGACAAAGATGCCAAAGGTAGGCAGGGTGGAGTGGAAGATGAGTAGAAACAATAAAGTGAGCGTCTTTCCAAAGGTGGACTCCTAGCAAGGATTGAAAATCCCTGGGAGCAGCAGGGAGCTCCCCTACTCCGGCCGGCCCTTCCTCTGGCCCTGTGATTTGTATGATCTCATTGCAACCAGAGTGGGTTGACTTTTCCTGGCTGGGCCAGATGCTTTTGAATGAGAGGGAAATCTATATAAAGTCAATGTCTTTTTATTGAGGGAGTATATATATATTTATCTCAGTGATTCATGTCCTTAGTAAGTCCATGTTCCTCTTTGTGGAGACAAAAGTTGGGCATTGTGGACTGGGTCTTGGGGTGGGTACCCCATGTGTGTTTTCTGGAGATCCTCAGTTCTCTGAGTCCAGCAGAGAATACACGGAGAGAAAAAGCATCCCTGAGCTCAAAGGAGCAGGGCCACTCCAAGGGAAGCCCAAGATAACTATGGAGTGGTGTGGGCACAAAGAAAATGCCTATTTGATGGACATAAGTATGTCAAATATATTTAAAATTGATCTGTACCTTCAGGGAAGATAGGGACTTGGCATTTGACACCTTTTCTTTGGAAGGCCCGATCATATGTCTCGCAGTTCCTCCCAATGCCCGTCATCCTTTCCACTGGGATGTGGATAAGGAATGGCCCTTCTGCCCACATTTGACAGACATGGCAATAGATGTGCCTGGTGGTAAGTGAGACGATCTATCCTTGGTTATCCTGACATTCCCAGGCATCACTATGGCCTCAGAAAGACATGTCTGCAGTTTTGGTTCGAAAACACTGCAAGCTCTTTACTATGTCTTTCCTCCCTTATTTTATTTATTTATTTATTTATTTATTTATTTATTTATTTATTTTCAACAAATGAGAGAGAAGCTTCGAGGTAGAGAAGAAAGACACTGTAGTCTTGTCCACACACTGTAGTCTTTTCTGTTCCCACTTGATCTCGCCTGAAAGGTGCTACATAGCAGTCATTAGAAGTAACATATATTGAAAAAAAAGATCTCATGCAAACTTTTGTAATTCAGAGGTGAGTTTAAAAGGCAAAGCTAGTGTATACTGGGTCCCCTGGACACATCAAGCTAAACTGCTTGATTAGGAAAGGTGGTTCTGCCCAAAAGGTCCCCTTCTGAGGAGGGCTCCAGACACCGGCGGGCCAGTCTCATTTTCAGTCCGTTTATGCAACTGTGATTTCTCCCTTCATTTTGGACACAAAGGAGGAACAGAACAGGGAAAAAGAATTAATCGTAAAATGCCATGGCAACATATAGCAGCCCAGGTGAGCTCTCCAATTCCTCTTTCCCAGAGTGGATGGATAGAAGAGGGAAGACAGTGTCCTCATGACTAGACCCGGGGGCGCTCCCAGGCAGTTCAAGGCCCCTCGTGCATTTCACCAGGCTGGATTCCAACTGCAGAGGACACCTTACTCCTCCTGAGGGCAAGCCAGGTGCCAGCCGCTCTTCTCTAGGGCGGAGTGTTTTTGTTAATAGTATGCAAGGGAGCCCATCCAGTGCCTTGAGAAAGGAAAGTGGGCCTGCTCACCGCATCCCAAAGGCCATCCTTTCCTGAAACCACACTGGTCCTTGTCCCTTGGAGGCAGCACAAGACTGTGTAAGGAGTCACCTTTTCCTCTCCTCTCCTCTCCTGAGTGTGATGTCTTATAATTCCTGAATGTGACCCTGACCCTTCCTCTGTGTGTGTTGTCTCCTCGAAGTGTTGTGTGCTCGGGGACTGCCACTCCCTCCCCAGGGCCTCCTCCTCCGGACCCTGTGTGCATGCCCTCTGCAGCTCCTTGCCCTGATTGTTAATATGTGGCCCTTCAAGCTTATCTTTCAAAACCTGCACAATTGTTGCAACTTTCGTCAAGGGGAAACATAATCTGTCAGAAAAATTGTGTCTACTCTAGAAGAATCTGTCAAATGTAGCCACTTTGGTGTCGTTCTGATAATATATATGTACAACTGAATAAACTCTGATGAGGCAGAATTTGGTAGGTATTTCTTCTGTATGTCTGAAGCAAATGGTTGACTTCTAACAGGTCATTGTCGGGTGTATTTCTATACTCTCTGAAGCATTACATTTTAATAAAAAATTGAAGAGCAGTTTCTGAACTCAAAAAAGATTGTATGAGCTATGTGTTTTTTGTTTCTTCTTTTCCCTCAAGTGGCAGTTACCATCTGAACCTCTGGCTTCCTACATGATCTCAAAGGAAAAGTATTTGTTTCCCCCATAAACACAGATGGCAGCATTGCAGTAGCGTATTGTTGCAAATTTATAAATGAATTCCCAAAGGAGGAAATGCAACGAATGTCACGAACATGTCTCCATATTGCATTGGTGGAAAGACTGCTCCCTCTCCAGGGGAGACTGGGGTACAGCCTTCCTCCTCCCTCGCGTGGTGGGGCTGGTAGCACATGGCCAGGCCCCTGGGCTTTGGGGCCCGTTGGCCCATGTTTGAGGCCTGGCTCTACCACTGACCGGCCTACTGACCTGAGTAGGTGAGGTAACCACAGTGTGTCTTGGTTTTCTCTCTGTAAAATAGGGAGATAGTCACTGTGTCAGAGTCTTTTGCCCCAGCTCGCATACTTCACCTCTGATTCGAGCCCCACCTTCAGTGGGCCACTGCTGGCTGCATCCACTCCCTTCCCGGAGAGCAGTCATGGCCTTGCTTTGCTTTCTGCCCTGTGAGAACTCCCTTGCTCCTGGGTGACCCCTGATCAGTGTGCCATGGGAACCAGTGGATAAATGTCCCTGTCCTGTCCTGCTGGACAATTGTGAGAGGCATTTGTCCATATCGCAGGCAGTCAGGCAGAATTAAGTCCCTGCTGCCCACAATGTTGTCTCAGTAATGAATTCTTACTGACTTCCTCTTCCTTTCCTGTTTGGGTTTCTTTAGGCCTCATTCGTGCCCTCAGGGATCACCTCCCCAAAACACTACCACATAAAGCCTTTGTCTCAAGCTCTGTTTTCAGGGGACTCCAAGTGAGACAAGAATATACCTCATGGGGCAGTTGTGAGGATTAAATGGGATGATCTGTGTTAACATGATGCCTGGCACAAAGTAAAGATCTATCAATATGAGTGCTTATCCACTATGTTTTTTTAAAAAGTGGTTAGGGGGCTTAATTGGAATGGTTTCCAGAAAATTACACTAAGCCAGTCACTCCAATATTAATATTCATAATAGTAATTTGAGGCAGTACACAATGCCAAAGGACTATTTGAATCCCTGAAGAAAAAATACCTATGGTCCTAACCGGTTTGGCTCAGTGGATAGAGCATCGGCCTGCAGACTGAAGGGTCCCAGGTTCGATTCCGGTCAAGGGGATGTACCTTGGTTTCGGGCACATCCTCAGTAGGGGGTGTGCAGGAGGCAGCTGATCGATGTTTCTCTCTCATTGATGTTTCTAACTCTCTATCCCTCTCCCTTCCTCTCTGTAAAAAATCAATAACATATATTTAAAAAATACTTATGTAAGCTAGACTATTTCTTAACCAAATAATTCTCAGTTTCAAAGAAAAGCGGCGGGGGGGGGGGGCGGGGAATGTTAAAAGAATGTTCAACTTCGTTGTAAACCTATAAGGCAGGTTGTGAATATGAGTGAGCACAGTTTTCTATATTGGTGAAATAGGCAAGCGAAGTAACTAAGGGCAGATGTACAAATCAAAGTGGCCCCATCCACGGAAAAGGAACCGTAAGTTAACCACTTGGTGTGCTAAATAACATCTGGAGCTCAGGCACAAGTTTGACTTGACTGGACAGCGGAACAGCTGCCCCATCTCAGCTCTGGGAGTTCGGAGCTCTTGGCAGCCCCTCCCTGGGGTGAGGTGGCTCAGTGTGCACACGGCAGTTGCTGCTGTGTGAATGAGGAAGCATGTAGACCAGAATTGTTCTACTGGTCATCTTATGTGTAAAACATGGTGGTCAATAGATTTTTCTGATGTCCTGGAATTGTGGCTGAAATCCCACAGCTGAGGACAAGAAGTGTTTAAAATTCTCACATATACTAGTATATGATTAAGAAGCAGAATGTGCTCTCCTGCTCCCCCCCGCAGCTGTCCCCCATACACATCCAGTTGAGGGAATGATTGTGCAAGAGAATAATATCATCTACCATGACAGGTTGCGATCAAATTATATCCCAAATGGATAATACACAAAAGAGTAGACTACACATATTAAGTAGAATGTGGAGATGTGTGAATGCCAAAAGAGACAGCTAAAATGAGTGCAGGTCTTTGTCTCTGGGACTGTTTTTGTTTATTTTATGTAAGCCCCTTTGTTCTATTTTAAAACAATTTACATGTATAGAAAAAATACAAATTAACTTTAAAAAGCTTCTAAATGTTGCAATGCACCATCAGACTAAACCAAAGGGGAAAAAAAAAGAAACATGCATATCTAAAGGAAATTGAGAAAACAAGGCAATTTAGGCATTCAGGGTCAGAGTAACCAATGACTCTTTGCTGATATACTCAAATGATGTCAGTTTATTCAGCTAGATCACTTGGTTTCGCTGTATGAACTAGGGACTTTAGGCTGTTCTGAATTCTAGTTTTTCCTCCATATCCTCTCAAAAACTAAGAAGTATTTCTTTTTGAAAGCACTTTTAAGAATTAGTACTACTTTTTATAAGTTTAATGTAAATAATGCTAGTTTGCTTCAGAAATTCTTAGAATTCATATAATATTTTAGATAAATATGTATAAAACATTGAGTTTAATGAATTAAAATATCCTGGACTTGGTTTTTTGTTTATTATTTATGTTTCCATCTACTTAAAAAATATCTAAAGTGACTGCAAAAATAGTGAATTCAATGTAAGTAGCTTTGCATTAACAACTTCAAACCATTAGAATATTACTTAGAAGATCTTAATTTATAATACTCTCTGTCTCAAAGTTTCTTCCCTTGGTAGCATTTGGCTTCTCATTGCCTGCTTTGTATTTATATATGATGTATCACTGGAGGATATTAAAGCACAGCCCACAGACTTTCTGTAGGAAATGATATAATCTCTGTTTTGCAGATGGGGAAACTAGAAGCACAGATGGCCACATCATTAGCCCTAAGAGATGAAGCACGTTGGAGACAGTGCTAAAAACAGTACAGAAGGCCGTAAAGCCCGATTCTTCCACTGCGTCCTCTGAAGTACTGATGATCATTATCATCTATCGTTATTATGACTATTTTTGAATACCCACTTGGCACATATTATTAAACTGTACTGGGGAATGGATTAAAATCCTTAATGCCTGGCAGCTGTTTTTCTCGATGTTATTTCCCAAATTTTCTTCTGCTTCATAATCTCCCATTTTTTTGTAGAGGCAGTTCAGAATAAATGTTTAAAAATGCTTAATGGAATGCCAAGATTGAGATAGCTGGGCTGAGAGTACTCACAGGCATCATCTCCTGCCTCGTGTTCTGCTTCTTAATTCTGCACTGAGTTTACCCTTAGTTTAATTTAAGAGTCATTGCCATCAAATCACTTTCCTCAATTGCCCATGCTTTCTTAGGGTCACTTGATAACCTTCCCTGCAAATATATGAACCAATAACAAGATTCATTCATTCATAACAGTAAATATTATTGCATTTGATACACACTATTATAGTGGAGTATGAAGGGAGAAAAAAGAAACCTCACAGAGACAGAGAGCGGAATGACCAATGGCTGACACGAAGTGCTGAAGGAAAGTGAAAGTGTGTGTCTTCCTCAGTGATTTTGATAGATGGCTGTTTTTTTCTTTAAGTCCAGGAAATTTCTTCCTCCATAAAACATCAATTTACTTCATATAGT